ATAATATAACTATAAACATTAATTCTTCCTCTTTATTCTAAAATCGTAATAACTTCTCTGCATTGCGTCATTCAAATTAATCATGCGATCTTACGTAACCATTAATACCAGATGCCTCTTGGCGACCAATCACCGAATTGCAAACAAAAACTTTTCTCTTCGCGTGCTTCCATCTTTCATAACTACGCACTTCAGCTTTTGCTCTCTACTGTGCTAAGATGTAATTTCGCTGGCTTGCTTTGTATCTCAGCAATATCAAAAATGTAAATCTTCTGTGGAAAGGCACGACTAGAGTGCCAAGTGATTGTGGCCACAAATATCAATTGGAAATAAAAATGGAATTAAAACTGCTTCGACTGCCAAGTTCTTTAGATATTACCAAGTTAGCATTACTAGCATACTACGCAATCAAATTCTTCTTCAATATGGGTCTAATCACGCATCTACAGTGTTCCGTCTTTTCCTTGTGCTTTAATTATGATATATATCAGAAGACAAAAAACTTTCTGTATGGAGTGGGAATTGATATAAGATCACCACATCTGTTTAGCCTTTTTTTACACAATGAACTTATTTTATTGTTAAGCAATCGTTCAGTTAGTAAGCAAAGACCTAGCTGCTTTAATTCAATACTACATCACAATCAAAAACTGACTTTTCTTTAATGTTTTAGGCTACTATGTCTGCCAAACACTTTACCCCTATCTTTATGTCATGCACTTTGAAACAGCTCTTTTAATGCACTAGAATTTATTACCCCTTCAAATGACAATTAACTGAAATTTATCGCTAATCAATGGGACGGAAGAAAAATATTGAAGACGAGAAAATGAATAAGAGGTATTATTAAGGCAATTTAAAAAATAGTCATTTATTACTATGAATATTAATACGCTGTATCGAAATATTGTTTTTCAACAGAAAAGTTTTACATTTAGTTTTACAAAATTTAAGTTCTTTGGAAGCAGGTTATGAATATACCGATTACATGTTGAATTAACTATATACTCTAGTTGGGATTCATGAAACCACGTCCGGAAGAATGCAATAATTCCTTATATTCTTCCCCACTGAACCAGCAATTTGGAAGAGACGCGAGCCAATCGACCTCATTCAGGTGACGCAGAATTATCATCCATTACATTTTAGGCAGGTTGTCACTGCAGAGACTACTATGTTTCCGAAGTCAGAAAACATGAATCGTCAACTGTTACACTTACCGGAATTCAAACCCTGATCTTCTTTTTTGGTGAATAGACGTGCTAAACCAATATATATATATATTGGTAAACCTTCGAAAATTTCGGCGAAATTCGGAGACATGTTTTGTTCATTTTTATCGTTCTTCATGTTATATGAAGAAACAAACTGAAAACTAATTCTGAAACCACTAAAAACGAACAGAATCAAATTAATAAATTTAACATAAATAAAGTTATTGCGATTTTCATGGAAATAGCATATAGGCATGATGTTAATAATATTACAAGTGAAGCGCTGTGCATCACTGTACTGCCAGATTTACAGTCCACGGTGTTAATGTCAATACAAAGTGTTAACCAAAGTTAAAACCCAACAGAAATAATAAATACAAACTTCGCGTCATTTCCCCCTCCGCCCATCCATCTGGAGAGGGGGAACGAATCATGCGGAAAACACTGTTCCACAAACGTGATTTCAAGCGATTAAAGTAGTAAAACCATAGTTTGAAGATGACCAGAACTTAACTGAGGACCAGATCGCTGTGAGAAAACAGCCTGAAGTTCCATTGTATTTAAATTAATAAAAGAAAAGAAAGAAAGGTAAGGGAAAAGAAAAAATTAAAATCTTGTAAAATCTTAACAAGTCATACTGAGTTTTTTCGAAGCCAGGAAACCAAAGAAATCTGCAGTGTCCTCTCAGGGGTTTGGAATTCTAACCCTTGCGATTACTAGCCGGATGTGCTTAAATTACACTATGAAGGCACGCGGTAAGGCGGGAAATTTTTTTTTTTTTTTTTTTTTGCATTCTTCCTTAATTTAAAGGCGATTTTAAGGAGAGGACGCAGTCGCCAAAACTTAGCAATGACAAATTATCGTCTACCATCTTTTAGTTGGGGTGTCACAGTAGAGTGTATTTTAGAATTTTTGGACTAGGAAAGGCAAGGCAATCAGCAATGATCTGGTAGCCGGACATTCTGTCATTAAAAGCATGAAGATATGCGATAAGGAAGGAGAAAATACCTTGCAGAAGTTTCATTTTACTTGCCTTTAAGATGGAAAGAGAGAAAAAGATCTGGATATATTGAGTTCGGCAACTGGAGATCTACTATAAAATGATTGCCTACTATAAACATCTATATCTAAATGACTTATAAGAGATCTACTATAAATAATCGATCTTGCGAATCAGAAATTTTTGCTTATTATTTTCTAATGTTTATTTATTTTAATTAGTGCAAATTGAAATATTTACTAAGTCGATGACTGATTGTGACAGATCTTAAATGAATATTTATTAGTAAGCTAATTTGGTAAGAAACGTGTTACACAAATAGCGTTTATCTCTTTAATAAATTCCGTAAGTTATAAACATGAAATTATTATTTATACTACTTAATATAAAACAAGAAGGATAAAGAGAGAGTTTTAAAGGCTACATCTACAGTTTTAAGCCTGAAACGCTACAATAGTGTTTGTTATGAAACTTTATTAATAAGAAATAGTGTTATTTAAATTGCAAACTATAGTCTTTCAAAGCTTAATTTTACAAAGTTTTGATTTCACTAAGATTTAAATAGACATTTTGAGCATATTAACAGAAGTGTTTGTACCTTTGAATATAAATGAAAAACATTAATTGTGAATATTTGGCAATTACCGACAGCACCACACTTAAAAAAATTTGAGGAAATATTGTTTTACAGTCAAATCACGACTTTACAAAATGCGTTTCAATGCTTCATGACCGTGAATGTCAGTTCATTTATTAAATTAATTTATGCATCTTAAATAAAGATGCTTTCCTAAATTGGGTAATGTAATATTAGCTACGAGCTCTAAATATTATAAAGAAATTTTCAAACGCACCCTTCCTTGTTTTAATTCATTAATTTTTTTAATATTTCACTTCCATCGTAAGTGTATAGTAAATTATAAAATTAATTTTTTAAAGCTCTATTAACATAAGCGCTCAATTCCAACGATTTTGATAAATTCTGATGCAATTTATCAAAATTAATTTTAATGAATATTTACGAACTATGGTATTACTAACACAACACTATTAAAATTCAACAAAGATCTAAAATGAATTGAAAAATACAATTTAGTAAAGTGTTAAATTTATAATTCATAATGACAAATTTTTAAATTCAATATGGAGTTTAGATAATGATAAAAATTCTACGCACTCAAACGTCACATCTGAAAAATTAACTTAATGTTTCTAGTGTATGCACACACGTATTATACCAAAAAAAGTTTCTTTTGTGAAAGACATTTTTGAATTTAATTGGAATATATCCAAATATGTATAATATTAAATAGAAAACAAACTTCTAATTTCAACTGGCAATAGTCCCTTTTATTCTTTATTTTAATTTAAGTAGTTCGCCTACCTAAAAATAGTAACTGTTTATAATATATCAATCTAAACTGTGCCATTTCAAAATTTATCTGCATCATATTATCTTATAAACCATAACAATGCTGATGCGGGCCGCTGCGATGAGGCAATGCAGGGACGTTTAATTATTGTTTAAAATGTAAACACTATTCTTTTAAATGTTCCATCTGATATTTTTTTTCCGGACTATAAGTCTGCTTCGTGATTTCCATGATAGAAAAGCTTTTCATAAAATTTCCAAGGATATTGATTTTCATCCGTCTTCCTCAGAGTCCATCAATTGTGGTGGGCTTGCGCTTAGAAAGAGCGCTTTTCAAGAGACAAAAGGTACAATAGTCCGTAAGTGAAACGTCATGGAATTTCGCAGAAATGCTTTGAAAAAGTATACGTGTAACATTTGTATCAATGTTCATTTGTTTTAACGCATGCAGAAGTACTTTTCGTAATATTACTTTTTACTTCGTCTTGATGAAGTTTCACTCTTTGATAGTCAATAGGAAAAATGGAAATCTTCCTGTAAACATCAGAAGAAATGGAACTGCTCCTGTAAATATTCAGAAGTAAAACTTTTTCTTAATCATAGTTGAGTTGATTTTAACACTTTTCCCCACTCTTCTAATTTTTAATTTCCCACTATGAGAGAATCTTGCGAAAATCATAAATTACAACAGAAACTTTCAATTCGTGAGACTCAGTTTAATTTAATATCTATTCTTAAACAATAAACATTGGCTTTCAATAACACTATGAACAATGTTTCTTCTATCTAATCTCCGTATTCTTCCTGTTTACCGAGTATGCATTATCTATGTTTATATGAGAATTTATTTACATCCCTATGCATTAATAACCACTCTGTTTGTTTTGTTCTATCTTTATTGTGGTTTGTTAGGTTTAGTTTAGACATACAATAAATATACATTCTTTTGTAACTTTTATCAATCTTTAATCTTCCACATTTTTCTTCTTATTTTAAATCAGTCTTTCCTAATTTGAATACGTAGTATTTCACCATTGGAAACAGTTGACCTACTACGAAATAAATAGCCCTGTTATAATAAATCATACTGTTTCATTACAGATTAGAAGTACTCTCAATTTTTAATAGGATTATCTTGCACAAATGCTGAAACTAATAATCTAGAAAAATAATTGATCTAAACTTTTTTCCTCGATAATTTAAAGAAAACTTTTAGCAGACAACCCTAGTATTAACATCGAAATGCAGGGGTGGGAAACACATGCTCAAAATGTTGAAACTAAACTGACTAAAATACAGACAGCTCGGAAAACTGTGCCAACGCACACACACACTTATATATATTTATATTTAGCATTATTGTAAATTATTATTATATATGCGTATTAATAAATTTGTACATTTTTCATTCTAGCTGATTGCTATTCTATGCTGGGACTGTATATGTATTCATCGTAACAGAGACCTGACGCAGAGATAGATTGGAAATATAGGATCTCTGACATGAGAAATACGTTATCCAGACCTCATATAATCATGATTATCAAGCTCCTGATTTAAATATGAAGGCAGTAAAAGTGCATAGTAAAGCTAGAATCCATATAATAAATATTTCAAACAGAAATTACAAATATTATTGAAACAACACTCAAGAAATGACTTTGGCAACTTTGGAAGCAATGATTGTGAAATTACGCTCTAATTAAAGGTAAACTGCAATCACTAGCACTGTAGCTTGTTATTATGTATCAGCTCTAGATATTTTAATATATTACTTCTAGATGAATGTTAAAAATATTTCTGAAGAACTACGAAACGCATAACTGAATTCTGCCACTCTTTAAATTTAACCTGAAAACAGAAATTTAGTATTGAAAAGTGTAATTAAAAATTCATTATGACCTGATGTTCATAAAATGTCATGTGTTTGTGCATCAGATTGTAGATCGAAGTACACTTAACATAGGGAAGAAGGGATGAGTTTTGAAATACCGTTCGTACATTCACTTATTCCAGCTCTGAAAGTCAATTATTCAGGAGACATGCCTTATGCTTACATCACATTAAATATGAAGCTAAGATCCTGAAGAAAAGAGATAAATAATAACTTGTTTTGTGAGAAGTCATAAAGGTCTTTTGTAATCCAAAAACGCACATAAAAAAAAAAAAAAAAAAAAAAAAATTCGGATGCTGAAGAGAGTAATGAAGAATGTTGCAAAGGAAACAGCTTTCCTGAGAAATCGGAACTTAAGAGTTTACCTATGTGGATTTAAGAGTTTACCACATACCTATGTGGTAAATTCTGAATCTGGAAGTCCATGAATTGGGATATAAATAGCTGCGCATTCATCAATGTAGTCAGTTTGCTCGGAATGCATACTTGCATGTCAGTTACACAACAATGCTCTGAAGATGATGAAAGCTTTCACACTGGAATATTGGCAAAATACTAGATAAATAAAGCCTAAAATTAACTCCTTTTAAACGTATTTATACGAGAACATATATCATGAGTTTATTGGAAGGTGAGCAAGACTGAAGATGAGCAACGAAAACAGAAGATAGAAAAATGACAGAAAATGTTCTTTTATTTAATATTAATCTATAACACACTGATATTTATTTTCAAATAAGCAGGAGAAAAGAAATTTGTTTTATGTTTTCTTCTTCATACTGAAAATATGAAACATTAGTATTTCATGTTGAAAATGTAACGCATATTAAAGTTTTCTTTAAACTTCTGATGATTTTGATTTATATCTACATAAGCCGTTTTAACTTTTCTGACTTTCTTCAGAAAACGCTAAGCATACTTATTGCTGCCAATACTTTTTGAAATATTTTAAAATACAGATGAAGATGCGAACAAACAAACATTATTTTTGTATAAAATATATAAAAGCTTTCTTAGAAATTCTCATTATTTTACTTCACACTGGCGTTTCCAAAAAATTCAGAAAAAACTAAGCTCTATTTAAAGATTTGTATACATAAGTTCTATTTAAAGATTTGTATGCAATTTTTAATAGAGATGATGTTGTGCACAAACAGATATTATCTAAATATGAAATACATAATAGTTTTCTAAGAAATTCTGATGATTTTACTTTATTTATACCCTGTCACCTTTCAAAGAAATCTAACGTGTTCTGTCTAAATATTTAAATGAATTTTTAAACACAGATTAAAATTTGTAAAAAAGAGACATTATTTGGGTAATAATTTCAAATAGTTCTATCTTACTAATAATGTAATTTTCTGATAACATTTTAATGCAGGAGACAAATATTCACAGAGAATATCCTAAAACTTGAGTTCATATTCTAACGATCCGAAGCAAAGGCAAGCGTGTCTATTTTCCTAATAATACTGTAATTTCACAGTGAGGGCAGATATGTCTCAAAAAAGATATGCCAGATATGTCAACAGAGGAATGCAAAAGGTATATTTCTTTCACTATTTAGGAAGAATAATAAAAAGTTTTTAATTAAAAATTAATTTGAAAAGGGAAACTAAATTTTGTCACCATAATATGACATAAAGCAATACGGCGCTTTTTGATTAAATAAATTCCTTGTTTTAGAAACAATACGTTTATTTGTAAAGTTAGAAAATTAGGTACTTGTAAATCTAAATATGCAGAGATATTACAGTTCATTTCTTATTCTTATTATTTTAACTACAAGGCCAGTGCATGGTGAGAAACCCTCTGGAGTTTATTTACAGTAAAAGTGATGATGCCATTATTTTAATTACTTTATAGCTAAGATCACTTAAAGCACATCAATTTTCTTTATAATATTTGTGAGCAGGACTAAATTTAGAAAGCAGTTTATTTTTATGTATTTTAATGTTTATTGGATCAATCCAAATATACTGCTATTATTTTATGATTTATATATTAATTTAAACAAGAACCCAAAGAATGTTCCAGGAGGGATACAGCACATTTCAGGCTCCACTATAACAAATGTGCCGGTTTTAGTATTATTCATGCAAAAAAGCGGAAACCTTTCAGGACATATTCTGGGACATAGGAAGAAATTTAAAACCTGGAAGTGGTTACAAATTAGGAACAGCAGATGCTCTTTCATCACATTTACCAATCATTAAAACTTAAGTTAAAGGTATTTTAAATAAATAATTAATCTTTAAGGAATTGCTTAAGAATTTTATTCTTTAACAAAAGCCATAAGTTATGAAAGTGTATTGCTATACTTATAAAACACTTTTATATTTAATTTAAAAAGAATTTCACACAGTTTACAGATTTTTAAATGTATACAAATCGATCTCGAAAGATTTAGTACTAGAATGAAGAAAAGAGCTTTTCTACTTCTCAGCCTTCAAAATACAAGCCTTCTAAGTCTGAATAGCGCTTGGCAAATTCTTACCAGTGCCACCCAGACGGTATAGTATTTAACGTAACTTACTGCGGTACTAAAGGGCCCGGGTTCGAATCCCGGTGAAGGCATGGTTGTAACTGTCCGACCCTTCTTAGGAGGTAACGATAGCTGCCTATTAAGTGCTTCCACAATAAAATGGCCAGCACTTCTGGCCTTAAGAGTAGCCAGTGTTTAAATAGGCAAGTGCCCGCCATTGGATTAAAAAAAAAAAACATTCTTAACAGCGCTTGATTCATTTTTAGAGTTCATCTTTCGGAATATTATTTGAGTCTCAGATTACGGTTTTCTGAATATCTTCAATACTATAGAAACATGATATGGGGTGAAACTTTAATTTAGACAAGATAAAGTAATCTTCAGGAGCTAAATCGAGTGAATAATTGGGTGATTGAGAGCTATAACACTTTTCTTAGCTAGAAACTACTTAATGAGAATGGAAAAAGTATGACAGCACATTGTCGTGAAACTGTTAACATCATCGAGTTTTTTAAGACCCAATGCATTGAATTCGATACAGAAGTTTGTAAATTATATCTTTATAAAATATGGAGTTCACCATCTACCCCACAGATATAAATTTATTACGAATCACTCCTTTTTAGCCAAAAAGGGTCAGCAAAATCTTTTTTATTTGTCATTTCTTAAGACGATGTTTCTAGTAATCCTCTAACCCAAGCAGGTGTTTTCCGTTTTGTCCTGAGAACAGTAAAGGCAAGTTTTATTTCCGTTCACAATTTGTCTGAAAAAATCAGGACTAATACCTACTGTCCACATGAAATAATGTCATGTGAATATTCGACCTCTTTCTATTCTGCAGTCGATGCGTGACAAAACTAGAACAAATTTTTAGTTTCTCAAGATGTTCCACTTCAACTTTGTGAGCAGTGTCTTTATTGATATTAAGCTTAACAACTATCATTCGAAGCTTTTCCAGCAGTAAATGGCGATCTTTTCCTATGTTCTCTCTTTCGTTCGAGATTGAGAAAGGCGATTGCTTCTGAGTTCATTATCAAGATACTATTTCAGTTTTCCATCGAACTACTGTATTAAGAGACCATGCCTTGTCGGTACTAAGAGGAAGTCTTGGTTGGTGTTAATGTTTGATCCCTGTATGATTTACATATTTCAGAAGTCTCTCCTGCTATTTTTACAGCAAAATCGTTTCTCAAAATTCTTTGCTCAGCTTTCAAATCCATGACTTTAGATGTTCATCGGACGAGTTACTACATAGAAAATTTCGTTCGTAAAGCGACGAGATTTTAGAAAACGTAAGTTGAAATGTCGTAACAATTATTGTTTGTCAGCCTTGCTGGAATTATTAGTCCTAAATCTTTGGAGAATCTATGTAAATCTCAAGTAATGATAATTTAAAAATACTAAATTTTAAAGGGGAAAAAAACAAAAACGATTCTAGCATACCCAAACAAAAATGGGTAACGCCCAAACCTTGCTCAAGAAGCATGACACTTTTTTCATCAATTGAAGATTATTGTGTTGTTATTTAGAAATTTAATGTTATTTCTAAAAAATATAAATTTAAGTGAAAACGCATATAAATCTTTCCTTTTCCTTGAAACCCAGATGTTTCCTGAGTAACGTACACTACTTAGTTGTTTATTTATTAATTAATTTGATCTGTACCTTTTTAAAGATCAATCATAATAATTAAATAAATCATAACAAAAGATTTTTGCAATAATGCAACATCTTTATTTCGGTGTTCAATAAAAAATAAAGCATGAATAGTACTTAAAGAATATAATCGCAGCAAAAAACGGATCATTGTTTTAATTACTTTCAGTAATTTTAAAACACTGTTATGACTAATGCTTCACAATTCTTGGTTTTAAACGAAGCGCATCAAAGCTCTTGTTTAAATTAACAGGAGTTCTGACATCTATGTTTTCCTATCTGAATAATCTAATAATAAATGACATTGCACTGTAACTAGTATACACAGTTACAGTGCAATCAGTTGCCTATAATGATGTACCAAGGGTTACTTTAACAAAAAGAGAGGAAAGTTATTTTTTAAATGTTACGCAAACAATATTTGTAAATAAGGGGAAAAAATCAGAAAAACATCATTAAATTATAAAAGCATAAACACTAATCATAACATCCCTATCATTATGAAAACTCAGATAAAGTTTCAATTTAAAGTCTATCTTCAAAGCATAAATATAAAAATGCCTGATTTTTAATAAAGAAACATATTTCATTCAACAATTAGATTACTTCATTGTAAGTTATTGTTTAAAATTAAGTCTGAATTTGGTCTTAAATAATTAGGATTTAATTTGATCTTTCATAAATATAAAAAGAATTGGTTGAAAAAGTCGAATAATATAGCAGGCTTTGCTTACATTACATAACAAAATGATACTAAAAACACTTAACATTTCTCATGTCATCAGTAAATGCAGTCATGTCCCAATGTTATATTGTATTATTCCTTTGTCCTGTTAATGTATTAAAGATTTGATTTTTAAATACCTACATTTATTTATTCAGTATATTACTCATTTTATTAAACTTAAATAATTTTTATTCATCATTTATTATGGTTTCTTAGTTTTCATTTCCGAAATTATAAACAGACATTTACTGTAAAAATTTCATTACTAACGCTACATTTCTTAAACTCGAACATTCTAGGTAATAATTCTTCCTCCTATAGAATTACTTAAATGTTTAAAATTTAAAAAAAAATTTTGCATATATTTAAGCTTTCATCTTTCATGATTCTATCAGTTCTATATCTTCAGAATCTTCA